GCGCATCCCTCAAACCATTTAATGCACTAAATAACTAAGGAAAACAATAGTAAATAATACAGTAGATAATGTTTGAAATTATTATTTGTACAATTACTGTATTGTATGCAACTATTAACTGAACTCAAAAGTTTAGTTTATTATAATTACTACAGTTACAATGCTGACATATTATTTATTAGAGCTTGAAATGTCAACTGTAGTCCACATGCTATAAATTATACTAGAATATGATACACTAGAGTCATATTAATAAGTTCATTATATGTTATAAGACAAATAAATTATTTCATCATAATTCAGCTCTTCGTTTTCCAAAAATATACATACTATTTTTATTCACTATTTGAAAATGTTAAGGACGCCCTACTGCATCCTCTTAGAGATGGATTTGGAGTAATTATTACGTCACAGCTCCTGGAAATGTTTCACTTTTAACACTTGCAAGTTTTTCACAATGTATCCGTATACAACAAAACGTGTGGTGAAGTTAAAGTATCTGCAATGAAAATTTTATTAAAATTTACAACGATCGCATAGGGCCTGAGATAAATGGGCTCTTTACATTTTTTTAAACAATTGAATGTAATTCTAAATAAACATGTTCTCTTTTATAAAACATTAAAACTTACACTAATTTTCAATTTTGTTTTCTATGCAAATGAAACAGTTTATCGCAATTTCTATAAGAAAGCAGCAAATTGTTAGTAATCAAGCTAATGCAAGCATACTTCGCATCCGCCAAGAATACGCAAATGATCTTTTCAACTGCTTTTAGAAATAGGCTTCCTTCCTTCCTTACTTAATAAAAATTATTATTTTAAAACAATTGTTAGCAAATAATATTATTAAAACGTGAATGTGTTAAGAGTGAATTGGTAATATATATATATATATATATATATATATATATATATATATATATATATATATATATATAAAACCCAAAAAAATATATATATATATATATTATAATCGGTGTGTACATCTATGTATATGTCCAGCCTTTTCTACATGACCACCCACTACCACCCACTTGTGGATGCAGTGGTCGAAGGCCTACGTGTGCACTTGCAAGTAAGGGAGTTTAGTAGCTGTGGGTGGTAAAAATGTGTAATGAGATACATCTATCCTTTTCTAACACATTGTATGACTCATATTAGCTCAAGACTGTGCTGAATGGCGTAAATTACTCATAAAATCGAGTAATTTGTGCGTGATAATATCGAGTATTCTTCTACAATATTTTAAATTTTTCCAGACTATTCCAGAATATTTTAGGATATTTTACAATTTTAAAGTTTAATCCAGAATGATTTAAATTGTTCTCAAAATTCCACAAATGATCTAAAGATTCTCAAGACATCATGTATTCAAACACTGAAAATTATTAATTAAGAATAATTGTTATCAATCTTTAATATTCTAAATATTTTCTAGATTGATCGTAAAAACTATACAATATTCATCAAACTTTCCAATATATTCAATATTATTTAAAAATAATTTTACATATGTTAGAACGTTCTAAACGATTTCAAATATTTCTAAAACATTCTAAAAAAATTTAATAATTTAAATGTTCAAAAATATTTGCTTATGATTGTACTAGATATAAATTGCTTTAGATTGTTTTAAACTTTTTAAATAATCTAAAAAATTCTAAAATTTATTAAAATTTTTAGAATCAAAATAATTTTAATCGAAGATGTCTTGGAGTCTTCTCAAAATTTCATGGATGGTGTAGGGGATTCTGTCATATATCCAAACACTAAAAATGATTGAAAATAATTATTATCGGTCTAAAATATTCTAGATTATTTTTATGTGAAAAATTATTCAAAAATTATTTTAGACAGTTTGGAAAAGAGAATAATCTAGAAATTTCTATTCCGGAATATACACAGTGTCAAATTCATAAAGTTTCAACAATTTTTTGAACTTCAGTTTAGTTGTGCATTCCAAAAAGTATTGGGACTAAAATTTTTGATTACTGACAATATATAAGCCGGAGTAAATTTTTTTGTCAGTCGTATTTTAGCCACGCTCAAGTGATAATCAATAAACAAAGTGCTCAAAAACTAACCCTGCACAGTAAATAATCTAGAAAATTCTAATCTGGAATATACGTAAAGTCGTTCCGCACAGAGTTACCATTTGTTGAATTTCAATATTATAGTGCAGGTTAAAAAGGTTCGAAACTAGGAATTTCGATAGATGACAATATATAAGCGGGAGTCAACCATCTTTTGTCAGTCAGATTGCAGCCATGCTCAAGTGATATTCAAAAAACTGAGTGCTCAAAAACTAATCTTGAAAAGTGTATAATCTAGAAAATTCTATTCTGGAATATACATAAAGTGCATAATTTTAACGAGTTTTTAAATTTCGGTTTAGTTGTGCAGTCTAGAAAGGACTGGAGTTAGAAATTTCGATTGATGACAGTATATAAGCGGCAGTCAACTATTTATTTTTCAGTCAGATTTCAGCCATGTTCAAGTAAATATACAGAGCGCTTAAAAATTTATCTTGAAGAGTGTATAATCTAGAAAATTTTATTCTAGAATATACAATTTAAAGTCATTTCGTGCAGAATTTCAACGATTTTTTGAATTTCTGTGTAGTTGTGCAGTGTTGAAGGTTTGGAACTAAAAATTTCAATTGATGACAGTACATAATCCGAAGTCAACGCTCTTTTGTCAGTCAGATTTATATATATATATATATATATATATATATATATATATATATATATATATATATATATATATATATATATATATATATATATATATACCAGTATGTATATATTAAATACCACAGTTAAATCGATTAAATCTTTTCTAATACAAGTGAAGAACTGGTAAGAGATGCAGAAAATCGATTTTTGCAGGCAGCTCAGTACCGTGCTTTGTGGCACTCCTTGGGAGAGGGCTATATTTAGTAGCAGACTGGTGAATGGCAGTGATAATGATGATGCTGGTGATTATACAATGAAGAACGTGTACTCTTAAATATCAAATAAATCTACAAAATTATCGCGACGATAATGGTCTCCTTCTAAATAATTCTAAAACATTTATTTAACAGTAGAATTAACTAATTGGAACGAAGTTCCCTAACGCGCGTTGCGAAAGGGGGCTAGATGGAAAAAATTAAGACCAAAAGTTGTAACGACACTTTTTGCTATAGTTGTAAGCCGAGCAGCGTGCGTGTGTTTCTCTCTCTCTCATAGAAAGCAAGCCAGTTATTTTCGTTTCGTCTTTCTATTTCGCATTGAACAGTGTGGTGTCGTAACGATTATTTTTGTTGAGTGTATACAGGTTTTAGTACATAATAAATAATAAAAAGTAATAACAATAATGAATCCTGACAGTATTTCTGCACAAGTTCCGGATATTGCTGATGGAGTTAGGGAAGTATAGGTTTTATACAGACAATAACAAATGCTTATTTATTTTTAGCAAATCCGCGTTATAACCTGTCTTTACTATTGTGCTAACCAAGTCATATGCGTCTTTCTAAACACTTGCTAAACACACAATAATCTTTCCATTATTGTGTGTTTAGCAAGTGTACGCGTTATAACTTTAATAAATATAAAAGGAAATTATATTTTAATACTACAATATCAATGCGTATGTATTTAGCAAGCCGTGCGTGTTCTAACCTGTACGCTGTTTTATTTATGAAGTCGAGAGTATATATATATATATATATATATATATATATATATATATATATATATACACTCCCGACTTCGTAAATACAATAGTACTTATATAAAGACATTAATGTATATATATCGGTTGTCCCAGAAGTCGACGTCAAGCCGAAACTTTCTGATAGGCGAGGCTATATTAGTTACCAGAAAATATTAAAAAAAATCTAAGTCATGTATTTCAGAAATTATAGTAATTTTTTTTTAATAAAATGTTCACTATGATACAGTTTTTTCATTCCTGTCGCTAAAAATATTTACTTTTTAACAATTTTTTTCCTCTTACGTCATCCTGAATAGTGCTTCTGTAACTCCAGCTTGACAGAAAATGTAATTTTATACCGAACCAAGTTTTCAGAATTAGTTTTTCGCACTACTTCAACTGACCGTCCTGGAAAAAAATTGTACTACGCCAGTTTGGCAAGTAGCTTTAAAAGTTAGCGCATTTAATAAGAATTATAACGCGGTATAACACTTACTCCGTTATTTCTTAGATCAGCCATAAAAAAAATTTTTGTTAAATAAAGTCAGTTTTTAACAATTTTTTGGAATTTACATTAAAACGATTCTAGTGCAACCAAAGCGTTCTTAATGACCACAGCGTGGTTTAAATGAGATATAGAGAGACATAAAGTGTGAGCGAGACAGATAGTGACGCTAATGAGACACAGACGCAAATGAGTGAACAAGAGAGAGAGCCATGCTAAGTGTGAGCAAGACAGGTAGTGACGCCTCTTATTGGTATTGGTACACGTACTACAAATCAGTCAAGTATTCTGTGAAATCAGTACGCAACGCTACTTCGTTTACTACGCATCTTTTCGTATTCGCTGGTGATATCTTGTGTTCTACTACTTTGGCTTCGTTTACTGGACTTGTTTGCGTGTGATTTGGATTTGGACATTTGTGATCTCTTTACGACAACCTTTGCTTTTCCCTGGACTAACGTGTTATTGTGTATTTATACCATACCATGGCTGTGTACACCACACACGAATATGCCAACATGCACCTCATTTATGGAGAATGCCAATGGACACACACACACACAAAAATATATATATATATATATATATATATATATATATATATATATATATATATATATATATATATATATATATATATATGTGTGTGTGTGTGTGTGTGTGTGGGTGGGTGTGTGTATTAGTGAATCAACTAACGCATCGAATACTAAGGTACAAATATTATGAAGAAATCCATGGTCGTCTGCAATTTTATAATATATTCAAAAAAAATCTTGTGCTATTTGCGATAGACTTTGGTGGAAAAATGACTTGAAAAGTACCACTGGCGTAGATGATCACATTCTACAATTGATATTGCTGGTAATATCATTATTTTATGCAAGTGTAACGCTTCCCCCCTCTCTCACATAAGAAATATATTATATTAAATATAATTAATTCCCCTTTATAATAAAAATTGTATATATGTGACTAGGATAAATAAAATATGTTTTGATCTTTCTAAATGATCTTTCTAAAGGTTTAATAATAGGCCGTTTGTAATATTTTGGCTTGATCGACTTGGTTAGGACCCTTATTTACGTTGTGTTTGTTTAGTAACTTAGTTCTTTTAGGTGTCTTTTGGAAGAACGAATATTCGCTAGAGCAATTGAAAGCTGTTGGTAGTGCCTTATAAGCTAAGTGAACCCCGTTCACGAAGACGGGGCTCGAGAAAGGTTAAGACATAAAAAGTCCCAATTCCATTTGTATCAGGTTTACATTATTAATTTAATATTATTTATCCCTTCACGCTCGGAAAAGGCTCAAAATATATTTATACAAAATACCCGATACAAGGGCTTCGCTCTCCTACATTTATTAAAAAATGTAGGGGGGCACACGGCCCCACACACGCCGTGCACGGTGAGCGCCAACCATTTTGATGCACTCCCCCCGAAGGGAAAGCTAATTCGGGAACTGGTCCGTAGTCCACAGCAAAATAACTGGCGAACCAGTAAAAGGGGCTTGGCCCCTTGTTAGTGCGTAAGCACAAACATCGACCGAAGTCGCGCATATCAATGCGTGTAAACGCCATACAGAAAACTCCACGTATCATAACGCTAATGCACTAAGACATGAAGTTGAGTATGCCTGTTACACTTAAAAGTGCTACCAAACACACTCATCCCAATCCGAAAGATAGACGACGCATCGCTATGCGCTACGACGTCGTCCACAAACGGTATGGGTGTGCGATGTCCACGGGAAAGCTGTATTGCTACAACAAACCCGCTTACCACCAGCACTAAGATGATATGTCTAGGACACATCGGTTAGCGAGTCCAAGTTTACCTCGGACCAATTGCTCGTGAAGCAGCACACACGCCACCATAATATTCCTTTTCAAGTCCCTAATAAGCACTAGTCATTTTGCTACAGTACTAGGAGCAGTCGGTCACCCAACCACTCCGTACAATACTCATGCATCAAGGAGACCTTCTATAATATTGCTTTTGTATCAGAGACCTTACTTTCATAAGTCATTCATATATAGGATTCGAACTCATGATCCTACTATTGTAATGCATGTTAATCATAGAGACCTTCTATAGTATTGCTTATGTATCACAGACCTTACTTTCATAAGTCATTCATATATAGGATTCGAACCCATAATCCTACTATTGTAATGCATATTACTCATAGAGACCTTCTATAGTATTGCTTTTGTATCATAGACATCACTTTCATAAGTCATTAATATATAGGGTTCGAACCCACGACCCTACTATTGTAATGCAAATTCATCATGGGATTAGTATTGCTTTTGTATCATTGAGTTTAATATCATAAGTCCCTAATATAGAACTAGTCATTGTGCTACAGTACTTCAGGCAGTCGGGCTCCCGACCACCCCATATATATGTACAACTGCAGGAATGTATCTCCGGCAGCTCCTCCATACAAGACATCTATACATGATCACCTTCAATAACTTAGGAAAATTTTCTTTTATACGTGAACTCCTACCACAACTTAGGAAATTTCTTTTATACATGAACTCTTTCCACAACTTAGGAAAATTTTCTTTATACATGAACTCCTTCAAAGACTTAGACGATTTTTAACAAATTTTCTAATTATTTTATAATTGTTATTTATCTTTATTTTTATAATATTTTCTACTTGCATTTCTATTAATTATCTTATTTTTAAATAAATTTCCAGCTTTTAAATAAATTTATTTATTATGAAATATTTTTGCCTTTAATTTACTATGTTATTGATCTAATGTCTGATATGTATTTATATTAACTTAATGTTTATTATTGTAATTTTATTACTTAAAAATATATATATATATATATATATATATATATATATTAAGACTATTTTTGATGCCCCTTTACATTGAATTTAATTATTAATAATAATACTGGGCCGTCACACAAGATTTATTATATTTTAACAATGTGCAACATTCCTTAATTGTATATTAAATAATGTTGCAAAATTACATTCCTTAAATGTAATAAACTTATTGTTATTCATTTAAATTATTTTATTTTTTCAGAATTATGTACGCGGTACTACTGTTAAAGTATGCTCTACGTGTAAGAAGGCTATAGATAAAGGAAAAATTCCGCTACTATCAAAGTAGAATGGTTTTTAATTTCCAATAATTCCACCACATTTGCCAAAATTGAGCAGCGACTTGTATCACCGAGAATTTCCTTCATGCAAATAAGGAGACTTAGATATGTTAACGGTCAATATGGCATTTACGGACCAAATAACAAATTAATAGATATTCAGGAGTTCATTCATCGAGCAATGCTAGAGTATTCTAAAGGTGTGTCTCGAACGCTTAGCAGATACAACAAAAATTTAGATAAACTACCACTCATTTTGGCCGGTGATTTCAACATCAACTTCAGTAATGAAAAATCAAAACCATTGCTACAGTTTCTAAAGGAAGCATTTGATAAAGAATAATCCAGCAGAATCAGCAAAACATATATTACTAATAATTAAGCCTACAGATTAAGTTTATATTACATTATATTTGTTAATAATAAAAAAATATTATTATAACTTAGAAATTTTTTTTATTACAATTCCTTCACTTAATAATCGAAAGGAACTTCGTTCCATCCGGGTATCCCTTGACACCCCTCAAGATTTTTTTTTGAAATTTTATTTCTTGGTATCATATCAAACCATAATAATATTGATAATTTTAGCATACGTCGAAATTTCATTAATAAACCGATTAAGTGCGTGGAAGATTTCAACACGGTGGATGTAGTATCCGTATAATATTATATTTAAATGAAACAAATATACAATATCCTCCCCAAGGAATGCCACAAAGCACGATTCTGAGCTACCTGCATACATCGACTTCCTGCATGTCTTAACAGGTCTTCATCTATTGGACTGTCGCCTTACACCTCGCCTGTCACCGTGTCCATTAACGTGTCTGCAACAATGAAGGGTTTTTAAGTGTAATATAAAATAATGATTTTTTAGTAATTACAATTATGGTTAGTTTTTGAAGGGCTGGAAAACTCAGAGTTAAATTCAAATTTAATCAAAAAGTTGGCTTTGGGTACTTTCCTCGTTGTGTTTATACCAACTAATAAAAACACTAATGTCCATAGCTTTGTCGGAATTTTGAAAATGATCTGGTAATAAAGACTTTAAATGGGAACATTAAAAAAGTACGTATTTTAAATGCTGTACAAACAATTTAAATTATATACAAAAGTAAAGTACGTATTTTATATAATAGGTACATTTTACTTCGTCGATATTATGTTACTTTAGATAAGACTAAAATTATATTACATTTAAATAATAGAATATAATCAGTTGTTATTAACGGGAGTAGTCTTTCCGGTTCAGGGCTCATTTCTTAGCCTAGCTTCATATATCAAAACCAAGCTAACAAATTTAATCCAGCAACACATGCTGTAGAAAAGATACGAAGCCTTATATTGGGTTAAAACAGCTAGAATAGTTTATTTTAGTTATTTCTATAGCATAATTTTATATGGAATCTTGCTCAGCTCTTCTATAAAAAATTAACGAACGTCGGATTTCTTGCAGTTTCTTCACAGGACAGAGATTTACGAACCAATAGTAAAGCTAAAATTACTTTCAATAAGTGTTCTTGTAATCTATATTGAATAATATTCATTATATTTTGAATTCTATTTTATTCTATCAATTACATTACTGGTATATTCACTGTTGTTTATATTTTAAAAATACGCATCATAAGAACTACATTAGGAAGGACTTTAAAATGTAATGGGAAACAAATAACATTCTGAAGTGTGATCGGTGACAGCAGCATAAAGACATCGGTCGGCAAATTCGATTTATCTCACCACTCACGCTTACTTTTCGATATATTCGATTCGGACACCAAATACAGACATGAATGCGAGCGCTTGTAAGCCAAGGCGAAATTGTATGAAGGGAGTCTTCAGAATTCATCTCTAGAATAGTTTGAAGAAAAGGATACAATTTCTTTTTGTATGCAGAATGGGCCTACAAAAATTTTCGCGACAACGAAATGTATGTCGATTTATACCTTATAACCTATAAATTACAACAGTAATATTAATTTTACAGCAACTAAAAGTAGAAGTGAGAAATTAACAATTAAAACATAAATCTTTTAATAACCTAAAAATAAACCAAAAGCTATTTTCTTGTAGTTTTCAACGATTTATAGTTAAAATATTGCACTGTTGAATAATTTAGTACATATAAAACAAAATTGTAGGTATATTCAGAATTTACAGGTGCTTCAAAAGTCCATGGAAAATCTTTTTTGTATTTACGGAAAAATATAGTGCCTGTCTGCACACAAAAGTGGTACGTATTCTACTCGTATTTTTTACATGCATTGATTGATTGTTTTTTTGTTAAAATTAAAAAGTATTGTGAGTGTACATTCCAAATATCTTTATTTGTGGTGGGCCCATTCTGCACTGGATCGGAACTTTTTCAAACTTTAACGCTAACACACTTTATAACTCTATAACATTATTTATAATTTTTCTACTAATTTGGTCTAGCAAATTACAGAATGTTAAGATAAACAAACGAGTTTACTACTAGTACTAACAAGCAGTTTGAAACTACAGACTTTATTTTTACAGTGAATTCAAAGAGTATACATGTAAGTTGGTAAGTATAAACAGAAAAGTCAATGCAGTGTTCAAAATTTTAAAAGAAATTAATATGTTTATTTTTTAAACATTTATTATATATACATGTATTATAACAAAATATTAAAATTGTAACTGAAGAAATAACGAGTTTGTTAATAATATAAATGGATATTTATTAAGTGTTTTTAAAAACTAAAAATAATAACGTACTTAAACATGTATAGAACATTTAGTATTTCTGGTGTCTGTAGGTTTTTTATTTTTTCTAAAAAATCGTACTATATCTCATATTATTCAGTAAAAATAAAAATAATTTAAATATAAGTAACATACTAAAAACGAAAATATGTAATTCTCGTTTTGGCAGAATAATATTATTGGCGTAGAATCGAAATTAACAAAAATTAGATATATTTTTCATATAAGTTTAAATCTAGATATGTAGATAGATTGTTCAGTGGAGTTCTTTGCTTTCCATAAGATAAAATACTCACCTAGTAAGAAATCCACACAGATAACAGTTCGCGCACATATGCAGCTGTCTCGGCTAGTAATTATCTTTGCACACTGCGTTGAAACCTAACTCCACAACTAACACAACTATATCAGTGTATGCTTATCTAGCAGATTCGATTTTATTAATGACTTTTTGCGTCAAAATATTAATAATAATTTTAGAATTTTATGTATGTAATCCTTTTTTATAAACCTTTTATGCCCAAATACTCCAACACTGTCCATTTTAAAATACCATTAATACTCGTGTTGTCTCTAAAACTCCTCAAATTAAAGTGACTGTGACCACGAGACTTCACGACATCTTATAATTGATAGATTTACTGTTCTTATGTAGCCATTATTTGAACGAAAACAAATAAGAAGGGAGAGAAGAGGAAGACAGGTAGGGATAAAAGAAGAAAGGAGAGGTGAAGATAGGAAGAGAGGAGAAAGGAAGAAGTTATAATAGTAGTGCGGTTAACTTGAGCTGTGTTAATATCGAATTGTATTTTGAATTTTTAGTTATATCACTTACAAACTTTAATCTAAATTATTGTACAATTTGGTTTCATAACTTTATTATCCTGCATTTACTTAACTTTCGGTTATATCTTGTTCCGTCCGAGTTCGGTCACACTTACAAAAATACTGGTGGAACTTATCAACTCTTCAAGATATAATTTACACGTCAACGTTATTAGAACACACTCGCTCTTACATTCGTTTGCACTATATACTAAAATACAAATGTAAAGAAACGTAAACGTTTGGCAAATACCCAATTATATTTTTTACAAATTAAAATTAAAGTAAATTAATACATATCTGAGTATTTTTGTCCTCCTATGGGAATCTAGTATTAACAATTTCGTATAATGTCTATTTATTTATTATCTCTATTCTCTATTATTAATTTCATTCGTAAATTGTTTTACTTACACAAGTAATTCCTTATCGTACTCAGTCTGTGAAACATAAACTAATGAAAAAAAAAAAACATACTTGCAATATGCTACGTAATTTTTTAATAAAAACTAAAAATTATATCTTAATTACAGTCCTTAAGCATGGTAGCTAAAGGTTCGGTTGCGGTACTGCAAAGACACGGGTTCGTGTTAGTTAGTTAGATAGTTCGAGAGAATAATTGATTTAATGACCTACAATTAATTGTTCCGAGTTGGATGGATGCTTGTCCAAATTTCTTAAATATTAAAAATATTGAATTACATAAACACTCACGCCTGTCACCCAGAAGGGTAGACAGAGACTACAGACTTCCATTTGGCACGATCCTGACACACCTATCTTGCCTTCTTCACGTCCATATACCTACGCAGACATGCTCGTCGGTTAAGGGTACTCCTAATTTGGTCCGTTTTCAATAAATCGTTAACTTGGTCGATAAATTTTCGCCTAGGACGTCCCTTTCCGACTCATTTCACTCACACTCATTCATTCACCATTCACTTCTGCAACATAAATTTTCTTTGTCACTCTTTCCTCATTCATTCTTTCCACATGACCAAACCACCAAAGCATTCCTTTCTTAATCCTGGTCACAACATCATCTTGCATTAATTGATATGTATCATATACTTTAATTAAGTGAATATGTAATTGGTGTAACTAAGCAATAATTTTGACAAATATTGCTACGTAATGCCAATATTACTTGGAACGTAATGAATACCTGAATAAATAGTGGAATCAAAGATTATTTAAAATACGATAATAACAACAACCCATTTATAAGAATGACTTTAATTTAAAATTTCCATTTTATTCTTAAATATTTTAATTTGTAATAGTTCAGTATAATCGTCTTTTAATAAATAATTTTATTTATTGATTATGGTCTGATCTACGCACAAAGATATTACTTCTTATTGAAACCGCTTTCTCTATTGAAATTAGGATGATATTTATTTTATTAGCCTCTCAAATCATTCTTGTTAAGTATCGATGCTCTTTCGCG